TTCTAAGTTTGCTTTCAGAGGATTATTCTAAAATTATGTTTATGTAGCACTCTAAAACATGTACATATGTGTGGATCGATATGTTTAAACTAAAACTAAGAAAATTTAGATTAATCAATCCATTTAAAAAGCTGGCCTAGAAATCTATTTCATGGCCACCTAATGATTCACAAGGAGTTTCTAAATACTGAGGGTAAAAAGTACAGATGGGATTTCTAGCCTGGAAGGCCCAGTCTTACTGCAATGCTATCCAAAGAGTGTTCCACAGCACATTAATCCCACAAAGTATTCACAAAATAAAAGGTGAAGGAGAGAGGTCTGTGGTCAGGTTTAGGGTATTCCTTCAAACAGAGGTTCAAATATTCACTGGCATATTAAAGATTGCAAGAAATCATGCAATGAGACATTTCTATTTTGCTTTACCCAGGTTGCCGAAACTTTTGCTCTAAGAACCATATGCTGCATGTTCCCTAGGGGGCAGTGTCTTACTGTTTCGTGATTAATGATCAGCACAGCAGCAGCTAGCTAGTGAAACCATGGAAGCAATCGCACATTGCTGTGGTAATTCCACTTCACTTGCATTTTCTTCTGTGAATGCTTCAGAAAGTAAAGAAAATCCCAGTGCTTCATCTTTGTGCTGCACTCAATGTTGCCTTGTGAACAAAAGTTTTATAGATTTTGTGGGGAAACATGTCTCATAGACCCTGCCTCCCTAAGTATTCTGGCACAACAATTCGAATGACAGAAACTATGCTGCAGTCAAATCTGCCCTTCCCCTCCAACGCTGAGGCACAGTCACTAAGTACTCCTACCTGAGTGAGAAGGGTAAGCATCTTTTCCTCAAGCCCCCTTGTCCCTCATAGTAATGGGATGCAAGTGGGCAACACCATAGATCCTCTAGACACTTCTGCTTCCTAAGGTTTGCCTGGCTTGGGCTTGAGCTGGGTCCCTTGCCATATAGAACACATCGAAATTGAAATTTGCTTTGGTGTGGGGAAGTGGGGAGTATGTGGTGAGGAGGATTCTTTCCAACTCTGAATTTCCTTTACAAAGACCACAAGGGAAATCTTCACTCATGCTTCAAAAATAGTAGGGCTTTTCCCTGAGCAAGTCCTGTAATCTTGCATATGGATATGTAAAATCCAGTAATTGTCTACGCTTCCCTTTCATCACCTATTCATAAGACCTCTCTTTATCCCTGGCAAAGTGGAGAGGTCTGTAACATGGTGCTCTTCTAAGTAGTTACTTTACCAGGGCTTCCCTGTATTTTGCCTACCCTGATATTTCATTCCCTTTGATTTCCTTACATTACAGAAAATATTTTAGCACCTTTTAGCATATAGTTGAGCCACTACAAGTCCTTTTTGGAAAGATGTAACAACTATAATAATATACCAAATAATAGAGATTTAATTTCTTACCTTGACTGTAAGATCAGATCGTTCCTGTAATTTATAAGTTTTAGAGAAGAGAAGTCTGATTATCCAGAGTATCAGAATTCCTTCCAAGATAAGATGGTAAGCAGGAGCCTGACAGTTAAAAACAAAACAAAAAATGAACACTTCTAAAACTTGCATATAAAATTTAATGTACCTGCAAATACTGCTTCCCTATGACCTTTAACCTATTACTTCTTAAAATTTACTTTCAAAGCTCTTTTCATTTCTACTCATTCCTTTTCCCATTTCTAACAGTGGGCAATTTCTTCTACATAATAAAAATCTCTAATACTGCAGCTTTAAAACCTCTTCAGAAAAAAAAAAAAAATCTTTAAAATAAAATCTTACACAGAATCCCAACATGTCAAACAATATCAACTATCAGATCGTTTAGGTAATTCAAATTTTTACTGATGGGAAATTACCATAACAAACATTTCATGGTTTCACAAGCCTACAACCCCATCTGTCATGGATGAGTTAAGAGTGTTATTTGGAAACTAGTTTCCACAATTCTTAAACAGTTTTGCACATCTTACTACATTTTCTGTATTCCTGATCAGCCTCTTTAAATCCTTCTTGGAATGTGACAGAGAAAAAAAAGACTTAAAAAATGCTTAAAGGGATAGCAGGTCTTTTTTCTACTGTAGTTCCCCAAAAGTATGTAGTGTTGTCCATGTCAATAGGCATAAAGACACTTTAATGAAATATCCATGTCTTCTTTTCAGCTTCTACATTTCCAGGATAAAGACCATGCTGACTTCTAGGTTTTGTCCAACGAAACACAAAAAGTTCATGTGGAAGATTCCACATATCAAATAAACCCCAGGCAGTCAGTTACAGGGTGCCCTACTCCAATAGGTTGTCAGTGGAAAATCATTTTAAAAAGGTGTTTAGAAACATAAACACAAATTATTTTCAAACATTGGAAAGAAAGCGATGATTAACCACAGTCTAAAAAAAATCAAGAACGACAATGAGACAGGAAAGCTGCTGACAAATTTGTATGTAAGCTTCCAGGTCGACATACAAATAAATTTCAAACTATATATATATATATTACATACACACATTGTTATCTCTTTTTTTGGGCACACTATACAAGACTCCTCAAATTCTACACACCAAGAGTATAGAAAGTGAAGCAAGAACAGAAATTTCTCATTAAGATGATTTTTTTTTAATTTGCCAATCTCCTTTGAATATAATTCATTTAAGAAGAAGAACTCTAGTCTAAATATCCTTTTAGTTTTCTCAATAATTGGATTCTAGTAGGCAAATATCTGCCCAAGTCACTAAACATTCCACTTCACAGAGAAAGCATCCTAAGAAAAATTTATACTGTCTACCGAATTAATAAAACTCACAAATGCAGCTTCTTTTCTTGGAAATGTTACATCCGGGAGAACTTCTACCAAGTCTCACTCTTGTTCAATTAAGGAGTTTTCAAGAAGGGAGCAACAAAGGATAACAGACAATTATTCATTTGTGCAACAAATAATAAAATTTTAGTGGCTCATCTGTTTTTACTATAATTAACCTAATGTTGGACATAACTTTTGCCACATTCACTCTGTCAACTGTTTTTCAGAAAGTCTTGATAAGCCTTGCAATAGAAGACACCATCATCGCCCAAGCCAGAGAGCAGCAATGTTAAAATTTTTTTCAATTGTCAAAAGAAAACCAAGGTTCACTCTCTAAGCACAGCGACTTTTGCCTAAATCCTCAATCATTTGGCTTTCTTGTAACCCAACCCCTCGACAAATACAAACGCCAACTTATTACAATTCTTTCCCCTATTACTTGCTCCACAGTTCCAAGTACCAGACTTCCTTAGGACCTCCCCAGACGGGGCGGTACTACTGTATTTTCACCCACCCGTTCTACCTTCAGTCCCAGTTCTGGTGTTTGAGGACCAGCCTCTCTCCCGTGCCCCCTCCCTGCGCCCAGACAGGATCCAGGGTGGGCTCCGCGCTCGCAGCTCAAACCGAGACTCTCGGTTTCTGCTCCCG